CTAGCTGACTGACAGCCAGAGATTTTGCGTCTGTCTCCTGGGGTTAATAATAGTGGCTTGTCCAGGTTGAGTGTCTCTTAACTGAAATGCCTGGGCCTGGAAGTGTTTCAGACTTCAGATTTTCTGAGATTTTGGATTATTTGCATTCACATAATGAGATGTCTTGGGGATGGGAAGCAACTCCAAAAGTGAAATTCATTCGTTGCCGATGTACTTTATACACACAACCGGAAGATAATTATATACAACATTTTAATAATTTCATGCATGAAACAAAGTCTTGTGATGGGGGCATTTTCTACTTATAGCATCATGTCTGTGCTTGGAAAATTTCAGATTTTGGAGCATTTCACATTTTGGGCTTGTGGATTAAGGGATGCTCAACTGGTGGTACCATTGCAAGGACTTAATGAGCTAACATCTGCCCCGAGTCACTAGGCAACCTGTTATTATTACTTTTTTAGTTGTAGGTGGACACACTACCTTTATTTTATTTATTGTATTTGTCTGTGGTGCTGAGGATGGAACCCAGTGCCTCACACATGCCAGGCAAGTGCTCCACCACTGAGCCCCAGCCCCAGCCCCAGGCAACCTATTATTAATAATAATTATTAAGATAACAGCTCGTCCATATGTCCTTTTGCCTCATGAAATAGCTTGGGGCTCCTGCCATGTGCCTCTCAGGACTCAGTTTCCCCACCTGGGTGTACCCTATACCCCCTCCCTCCTACTAGGTGTCCTAGCAGCCGGGAGGCTGGGTGGGGCCCCTATCTCACTGGCTATTTGCTTTCCCTCTTCTGGGGCTGCCACCCTGGACAAGGCCCTTGAATAAAAGGCCGGGACACCTGTGTCCTGCTTCCTCCTTTCTGGTCTCAATCATGCTCCGGCTCCTCCCTGCCCTGGTGCTCCTGGGGGCGCTGGCTGCCCCAGAAGGTAAGTATGGTGTGGCCCCTCAGAGTGGGAGACCAGCCCAAGGTCATACAGTTGGTGGGATTTGGCTTTAGAGTCTGAGCCGCAGACCCTTCCACCTGGCCTGGTGGTCAGCCGAGGCAGCTGGTTGAGAAAGAGCGTGGTTCTGGAGGGAGGCTGCCAGGCTCTGCCATTTGATAGCTGTGTGATTCTCAGCCTGCCACCTAACTTCTCTGTGCGTTAGTCTCCCCTGAATGAAAGGAGCTCTTAATGACTCTCTGGAGCAATTATCATTAGTCTTTGACTTTGCTTGCCTGTCTCCCCTTTGGCTCTAATTCTGCCACCTTTGGCTTGGGGTGGGATTTGAGTGGCCTGGATGCCAACCAGGATCCCATTGTGTGATCTTGAATGAGACCCCAAGTCCCTCTGGCCTAGTTCCCTCATCTAGACTAGGAAGGCGTGAGGCAAGGTCAGCAGTTGTCAGAGGGGGCTTTCTTGAGCCTTGAGGTTTCTTTGAAGAATCTCAGAGGCCTCTCGGAAGATCTAGAAGCCTGGGCAGGAGACAGAATCTCCCCTCAGCCTGGCCTCCAGGGGCAAATTCCAACTTTACCTGCTCAGTTCTGGGTTTGTGAGCAGGATGGGTGGCAGAATGTCCAGTGGGCATGACCGGTGGGTGAGACAGGAACGGGCAGCAGCTGTGGCCTGGAGTCCTCTGGGTCCCACCCCCACACCTTGGCCATACTGTGTCTCCCTCTGGAATGGTATTCCCAGTGCTCTAGGAGAATAGCCTGCCTTCCTTCCTTTCTTTCTTTTTTTTTTTCCTGTACTAGAATTGAACCCAGGGGCATTTAACCACTGAGGCCCATCCCCAGTCCTTTTTTTGTTTTTGAGACAAGGTCTCACAGTGGCTTAGGGCCTCGCTAAATGCTGAGGCTGGCCTCAAACTTGTGATCCTTCTGCCTCAGCCTCCCTAGTATCTAGGATTACAGAGTGTACCACTGTTCCTGGAGGAAAATGTTTCTGTATCTTTTCTCAACAGCCCTCCAGCCATGGCAACCCCCAATCGTATTCCTGAATCCTGGTGTGTGTGTGTGTGTGTGTGTGTGTGTGTGTGTGTGTGTGTGTTTCTTTCTCCTCTCTCCTAAACCACAGGGTTTGATGGCTCCTCTCTCCCCACAGGGGCTTCCAAGACGTGTCCAGCCTGCTCTTCGCTGCGAAATTGCACGGATATCGCTTGTCCTTCTGCCCGGGACTCCTGCTTGTTTAGCCAGATACATCTGGGTGGGGGACTGGCTGGGGTGGGCGGAGAGGGTGGACAAAGGAAATGGACAGGGGTGGGAGGGGACAGGCACGGAGGAGCAGCTGGGGACACCTGGGGCTTGTGCACTTGGTCTCACAGCTCAGCGGGGCGCTGCTGGAGCGGGTGTCGGGGTGGGGTGGACTAATGCCATGGGGAAGCCCGACATTGGCCTCCGGGGAGGGCTTCAGGGGCTCGGGAAGGGAGGCCTTTATTCTCCCCTCCTTGGCCTCTGTCCTTAGAAAATGGCACCGTCCTTGAGAGCGGGTCCTGTGTAGCCCCTGGGAGATGCCAAGAAGGTGTCTATGCCCTGACCTACGGTCCCCACTCGGGCCTCTGGATCAGCACCTCGTGCTGTGAAAACTGCAGCTCTCCCCAAAAAGGTTTGTTGGCGGCGGGACCTGGGGGCCACACACCAGCCAGGGTGTCATGGGGACTTGGCCAGGAGTTTCCTGTCCTGGAGCTTTCTGTCTGGTGGATGGGAGCAAGAAGAAGCACCTCAACTTTCTCATCTAGAAAATGGGTACAAAATAAATTTTGTAGGGAGGGATCCCCTTGTTTGGCCCTCAGTGGGCAGTCTGTATGTTGTAGTTATGCTTCTTGAATTATTGGGGGACTGGGGAGAAGCCCAGAACTCTCTTCTCTCCTGAGCCTCTTCTCAGGAATCTCCCTGAAGGCTGGTGCAGCAGAATGAGAAGGTTATGGGGTGACATATGGGTCCAGGGTAAGACCAGCCACCTGCCTCGGGCACCAGACTTAAGGCAGAGCTCACCCTGCACTTGCCCACCCCTGACACTGAGCGTCCACTCAAATTTTGTGTCCCTGACATCACAGTAGTCCCAGCGCTGCGTGGTAATCAAGATAATTTTTTGTTGCTTGGTTATTTCTTTAAAGAAAGAATTTGTGTTTGGAAGAGGAACAATGGGAAGCACTCAGGGCTACCCAGCGTCCTTCCAAACAGCCGAGGGGTCCCACTTTCTATGTCGGGCACCTTAACAGAAAAAACCATGAGGTCCAAGCTGAGAAGTGGGCCTACTGATCAGGGTATAAAAGATCAGTTAGGATTATAACCATATTTAAAAATCCTGTGTGTGATGGTAGATTGAAAGGACCACACCTGGTAATTTTTTTTTTTTTTGGTGGTACCAGGGATTGAACCCAAGGGGCTTAACCACTGAGCAACACCCCCACCCCTTTTTATATTTTATTTATAAAAATATTGTCCAATAGAAATGTAACATGAGCCATCTCTGTAATTAAAACTTCTCTAGTAGCTGCATTAAAAATTTTTTGGGGTGGCACATGCCTGTAATCCCAGTGACTCTAGGGAAGCAGGAGCATTGCAAGTTCAAGGCTAGCCTCAGCAACTTAGCAAAACCCTGTGTCAAAATAAAAAATAAAAATAAAAAGGACTAGTGACTAACTCAGTGGTAAAGTGCCCCTGGATTCAACCCCCAGAACCCACGCCCGGAATAAATAAACCAACAAATAAAAATAGAAACAGCTCTATAATAATGTTTTCTTAAGTCAACTTATTCAAGATGGGCCTCTATTAAGATGATTTTTAATTTTTTTTGTAGTTGTAGATGAACAGAATGCCTTTATTTTATCTGTCTATTTATATGTGGTGCTGAGGATCGAACCCAGGGCCTCACGCATGCTAGGCAAGCGCTCTACCGCTGAGCTACAGCCCCAGCCCCCCCCTTTTTTTTTTTTGAGAAAAAGCAAAAAGAAGTTTTATTGATTTGCTAGCAAATGAGAAGGCAGCAGACTCATGTGTCAGGGGAGCAGAAGGCTTTTAAATGAGATACAAAGGCTAAGTTCCAGATGTGCATATCAGCAGTCATAATTCATAACCAAATGGTAGCCTGGAGAGATAGCTATTTCTTAGACTGCTGGTACCAGCTCCCGAGTCTGGATTTCTTCATTCCTGTGGTCAGTGAGCCAAAGGAAGGACAGGTAACTTGGCCTAGGATTGGGGGAATGATTTCAGAGGTCTCCATCCATAGAAGGCTGGCTCCATTCCTTGGGGCTCGGGATGAGGAAGACATCATGACGGAGAGTTTGGCAGAGGGAAGCAGCTCACATGATGATCAGGAAGCAGAGAGAGCTTAAGATGATTCTTGGCTGGGTTTTTACTTTACTCATACCTAAATGACTTCCTTTTAAATGTTTCCGATCTCTAAGGAAGCATTCAAAATTAATCAGATGGCGGTGAACCTGGAAGGCAGAGTTGTACTCTTTTGCAGAATACCACAACATCTTGAGCCCGAAATAACAGGACCACTTTTGTAATCAATTTTGAAATTCAAGATCCCTAAGAAAGGGCTCTCATCTGTTGTCATTGCTGTGTCTCCAGGGCCTAGAAGAGTGCTTGGTACACAGTTGGTGCTCAAGAAGTGTTTGTGGAATGAATGAAAGAAACTTTAGGATCCAACTGGAAGGTTTTTTTTTAGAACAAATGAGCAGAATTGGGCTGCTGTTAGTGGCTCCCTAGAATAAATCTTTGGGGATTGGAAGGAGGCATCTGAGACTAGACTGGTCCCATTTTGGCAGAAAGTGATCTGGATTGTTCCTCGAGGGCAGTGAGGGTGGGGCGTGAAGACACATAGAGGGGGGAGATAGAATAGAGGGCTGGTGGGGGAAGGAGGGCTGGGAGGAGGGTTCCCTCATCTTCATCCCACTCTGAATATACCTACTTCCACCAGAGGCAGAGCCCAAGGCCCAGCCCAACGCAGTGAAGTGTCCTTACTGTTCCGGGGAAAATTTCACCTCATGTGACTCCATTTCGATCATGAACTGCACCGGGAACCAGACTGTGTGCGTCACTCTCAACGGGACATGGAATAGAGGTAAGGGCTCCCTTTGGGAGGTCATTTGCCTGGCAGACTCCCCTCCTACCTGCACAAATAAGTGTTGAGGTTCATTTGCATACATGTTTGCATTATTTCTTGTTATTGAAGAAAACACCTGCAAACTCTGAGGCTTCACCTGACCATCTTTTATGCTTTCTATGGATTGGGAATTCAGGAAGAGCTCAGCTGGACAGTTCTGGGTCTCTCATGTGTTTAGACTCAGAAGGTGGCTAGAGCTGGAATCAAGAGGAGGGCCAACCTGGGCGCAGTGGTGCATACCTTTAATTCCAGCAGCACAGGAGGATCCCAAATTCAAAGCCAGCCTCAGCAAAAGTAAGGCATTAAGCAACTCAGTGAGACCCTGTCTCTGAATAAAATACAAAAAAAGGGCTGGGGATGTGGCTCAGTAGCTGAGTACCCGAGTTCAATCCCTGGTACCTCCACACCCCTCATAAAAGAGCAGGGCCAAGAGCAGCAGGGCGCTGGCTGAACATCTTTCACACACAGAGTCCCTGGGCCTTTCCATGTGATCTGTCCACATTGGTTAGCTTGAGCTTCCCTCACATCATGGCTGTCTCAGGGTCCTTGATGTGGTAGTTGAAGACTTCATTCAGCAAATGAGGTGGCAGCCTCCAGAACTTTTATGACCTAGCCTTGGAAGTCACATAAAGTTACTTCTACCATAGTTTATTGATTGAAATGGTCACGAAATTTCATCTAGTTTCGTGGTGGGAGGTGTAGATAAGCACAGATGCCACCGGTTAATGTGTCAGAGAATTTGAAGATGCATCTTATTTTATTTTTGAAGTACTGAGGATTGAGCTCAGGGGCACTCTGCCACCAAACTACACCCCCAGTCCTTTTTTATTTTTATTTCAAGACAGGATCTCACTAAGTTGCCAAGGCTGGCCTCAAGCTTGTGATCATCCTGCTTTAGCCTCCGAAGTTGCTGGGATTTTACAGGCATCCACCATTGCACCAGCTGAAGATGCATTTTAAAATTACTAATGTAGGTTTGCAAAACGTTGAGGCGGAGGCTTTTTCATCAAAAGCCTTAGGATAGAACCATCCTGCTCAGAACATAGACTAACTCTGAAGCCAATAAAGGGACAGAGAGAAGTGGCCTAGACTTCTGCCACTGGCGGTAAGGTAGACTAGATATCCAAAGTGTCTCCTTGCTCTGAACAGTGGCATGCTGGGAAGGAGTTGGGGAGAGGGACCCACTCTGGCAGGGAGGAATATTTTATCACCGACATTGTTTAAAATTGTTGGTGCATGGTGATAATAAAAAGCAGATTTACTTTTAGTTGATTTTTTTTAATGCTCTACAGACATACACTCCCTTATAGCCTGCTCCCAATGACAGGCTGCTGCCACTAGCCACCCTTGCCTCTTAGTATGTCACCATTTACAGATAAGCTAGATCTTGTACAAAAAATATGTATTTTTCATGCCATTTGGAGCTTTCAGGAAGCTAGGGAAATTTCCAAGGGTCCCTAAACAAAACAAAAATGTGAGCAGAAGTCAGAATGAGAGCAGTGAGAGAATGTGAAAGTCACAATGGCCCTGAGAACAGATGCTGATAATGGCCCGCTGTGGGTAAATAGGTCTTAGCACAGCAGATTGGTCAGGGAGCTGACCCTTGTGTTCCCACATAAGATAGGACCTTCGAAAGAGGCTGAAAAGACCACAGGTTGGTAACATCACCTGGTCTGTATAGAAACAAAGGCAAAGCCTCCCAGAGGAAAACCTCCAAGGATTCCCATAGATCAACATCAACCAAACGTGAGCTCACCATCAGAGCTCCTGAAACACAAGGAAGTAAGTCACCATGAGGAATAGCAGAAACAACAAATCACAGATGTGGACCCACGAGGAGCTCAGCTATCATAATTATCAGCTGCAGAACGTAATACACCTCTGTGTGAGAGATCTGAAGGCATGAGTTTGAATCACAAAAAAGAGCAGCAAGAAGAGGCTGTAAAAAAAAAAAAGGCAAAGTGGGACTGGGGCTGTAGCTTAGTGGCAGAGCGCTTGCCTAGCACAGGGTTTGATCCCTAGCACCACATAAAAACAAATAAATAAAATAAAATAATTTTTAAAAATGGCAACATAGATTTGAATATGAATCATACAGAACTACTGAGAGGCTGCCAAGAGATGGGAACTTGCTGACAGAAAGAGACACACATGAGGTGGAGTCTTTGACTCTTGAGTCTCGCCCCTCAACTTCCCCTTATTTCTGCAGGAGGTCCCCAAATCCTGAAAGGCTGTGCTACACCAGAGATCTGCCACCTGAAAGTGAATGACACTCTGGGCCCCGAGGAGGCTGGATTTCATCTCACCACAAAGCCTGATTGTAGTTCCCTGGCTCCTCCCACACAACCAGGTGCTTTGAGCCCTGCCTTCCGGGAACCCCACCCTGTCAGTCCTCCCCAAGCCCCACATTCTCTTCCCAACCCTAAATGTTCATTCCCTCAGGGTACAATGTCCCCTACTCTAATGCTCCCAAGGAGTACAGTTATCCATATGCACACACAAACAGCACGCCACACACCCAGAAGCAGAAAACCATGGGTACATCCACAGACACGCACAATTCTACCTCAGCACCCACCACACATCGAAAGAGGTGCATGAACTTCAACGTGAACATCCTGTGACGTGTAGAGATCTGAACTCCGTTTAAGGAACAAATATGATGTTTTTTTTATTTCTTCACTTCCTTGTTTGTGAAAGAAGACAGATTTGTCAATCGTCTTCTTTTGGATTACCAAAGAACATTCACAATCATTTTCTGTCTTCTGGAAAAGAGAGATGCTAATTGGAATAGTATTTACTGGGGTGACAGTATATGAAGCGATTCGTTTGAACAGCATCATGGACTTTTTAGAGGTCCATAATGAAAGGCAAATTCCCCTGGACAGAGCAGCGTTCTCTCAGTTCTAGGGACGTAGAAGATGCCTTTGTTGGCAACTGCGCAGCCAGGATCGTTCTGCGAGGCAGAGAAAGATCTGCTCCCTTACCCTGCAAGCAGAGCAGGAGCATCCTCACCTCAGCTTCCTCAAATTCCCAGCTCCCAACAGTTTCACTTTCCCAAACTAAGCAGTGGATCAAATGAATTATCACAATGAAGGGGGAAAAAAGGCAGACTTGGGAGCTTCAAATTTACAACACACAAAGAAAAAGGGTCAAAAATGATTGCCAGCTACAGGAACTTGGGTCATGTAAATTTTGCCTACATGATCTCTAGGTATAGAGACAAAACACACCCATGCATGGACATGTGGATCCTCAGATCCATGTTCAGGGACCGGGAAAGACAGGTACAAACATACACAAGCATACACAGAAGTACCCACTGTCTGCAGGCACACTGACGCACACTACTGACATCTGTGAACACTCACAGCTGTACCCTGACACATCCGAGTACCCCAAACCTCACTGGAAACAGACACAGCCGGACCCAGCAGCACTCATAGACCCACAAAACCAGCCTTAAACACACACATAGACACATAGATCCACTCATACCCATATGCACACAGACACTTGTGCGGGGGCAGGGGGCACAGGGGCACACACAACACCATCGCCCCAGCCCCCAACCAGTTTCAGACACACACAGACAATTCAACACAAGCATGTACAGCCAGATGTGCACCCAGGAAACAGCCCCCACGAACAGCATCACAGCAAATGTGCACACACAAAAGCACTTTTGCCCTCTAAGGGCACATACAGATGTGCCCAGAAATTTTTGCAAGTACACATGTACAAGCTCGCTCTCACATGCACACACACACAAAGATTTTCTTTCTCTCCTCAGGTCCCCATGCAAATGTGACCCATACCAAGGCAAAGGCCACCATCTGTTTCACCTGCTCAGACCTCTACCATTGCAACCCTGTCTCCTGCCCGGAGGACAGGAACTATTGCCTTCAGACGGCAGGAATCACAGGTGAGTGCCAACGGGAGCAGAAACAGGCCCTGAGGCACAGCAAGACTTCTTGCCTTTCCGTGTCTGCGGCCTCCACTTTTTATGGCCATGCAGGACAGAGGCTCGGAGCAGCAGAAGGTGTGAGGTGCAAATCCAATGACATTTGGTTGAGCTCTTGCTAAGTGGCCATCCCCTTGAGAGGCTGAGGCAGGAGGATCACAAGTTTAAGGCCAGCCCTAAGCAACTTAGTGAGACTCTGTCTCAAAATAAAAAGCAAAAAGTTCTGAGGATGTGGCTCAGTGGTAAAGTGCCTCTGAGTTCAATCTCCAATGCAAAAAAAAAAAAAAAGGCTCAACCAGTCAAAAGAGGTCAAATATTATTCAAATTTATTATATATGACAGCAGAATGCATCTCAATTCACAGTACAATAGAGCACAATTTTTCAGTCTCTGGTTGTACACAAAGTAGTACACTCTTTTCGTGTCTTCATACATGTACTTGGGGTAATGATGTCAATCTCATTCCACCATCTTTAGGGTTTCAGTTTAAAAAAAAAGTCTAGAGATCTGTTACACAATAATGTAAGTATAGTTAACCATTGAACAGTATACTTAAAATGGTTAAGAAAGCAGATTTCATACGATTTTTAACCACAATTTTGTAATTTAAAACAATGGCTTAGCTGGGTGTGGTGGTGCATGCCTGTAATCCCAGCTGCTCGGGAGGCTGAGGTGGGAGGATCACGAGTTCCAAACCAGCCTCAATAACTTAGCGAGACCCTGTCTCTAAATAAAGTATTTAAAAAGGGCTGGGGATATGGCTCGGTGGTTAAGCACCCCTGAGTTCAATCCCCAGTACAAAACAACAACAACAAAACCAAAAACCAAAACAAAAACAACACCAACTTAAATAAAATAATGCTTTGTTATTTCTCATGATTCGACCATCTTGGGCTCAAATGGGCAGCTCTTCCACTCCAGGGGATGAAAGCTGAGGTCACTTATATGGTGGATTCAGCTGGAACTTGACCGGTACTGGAGGCCCCTCATCCCCCAGGGCCTCTGTCTGTGGGGGCTCTTGGCAGCTGCACCTCAGCCTCAGCTTCCTGAGAAGAAAACAGGGGACTCCAGGCCTCTCGGGAGACAGGCCCAGGCCTGGCACAGCCTGTTGACCAGAGCAAGTCGCAGATTGAAAGGGTGAGGAAGCAGATCCTCCTCTCGCTGAGGGAGGAGATTTGGTGGTGGCCATCTTGGTATCTACAATGTTCTGGGCAGCGAGCCCCCTGAGAGCCCTGTCCCTCTGCTCCAATAAAGGGGGGAAAACTGGTCTTTCCTGTAAATGGGAAGAGGAATTGAACTTGCAGCCAGCTGTCTGCGGTCTTCCAGCAGCATGAATAGTGTACAGGCCCCGGTACTGGGCACTTCCGGAATCCCAGCGAACTGAGTACCAATCTGAGTACTAAGCCCGTGAGGTGCCCACAGGCAGATGGGGGAGACTCACAGAGGCCCCCTGTTGATTGGGACCCTTAGGGAGAAGGCGGAGTGTCAAGGAAGGTTTTCTGAGATGTGTCTTCAGGAGCAATGACCACACTGGATGTATTGTGGGGGCTCAGGCAGGGCGAATGACAATGGTGTGACATTCAAAGGGACTTGGGGGAATTCCATTAGGGGGTGGCTGGTGGCTGCCTTTTCTCATGAGTCTGCCCTCCGCCTCTCTCCAGCGTTTGGGGAAGGAGACTCAGTGGCCTGGAGAAATGGTTCCTGTGTGGCCTCCAAGGATTGTAAATGGGACAGATCCGTCTCTGCCTTGACCTACGGTGCTCGCTTGGGCTTCTGGGTCAACACCACCTGTTGCCGAGGCAACTGCCAGAAGCCCACTCCTCTCGGTACGCTGCCACCAGAAAGCAGTCAGATAGGCGGCCAAGGAAGTGGTGGGTGACTTTGGAGGGGGACTTGGCCTCCATTGAGGAAGGTAGGTGGGCAAGAACATCAACCCCCATCCCCCAACAGGTTCCCTAAGTCACCTGACCCCAGCTCAGCGGGAATCTCATTAAGGTCATTCCCCTGTGGTAGAGTGTACTGAGTGCACCAGGGCCCTGGGAGGCTCTGAGAGTTCTCTTGGCTGACCGTCTACTTCCCCTATACAGCAGCTCTGCCGGCCTCCCGCCCCTTGAACAAGTTCCTGTGCCCTACATGTGCAGGGGACCACCAGGGACCCTGCAATTCGTCCCTCTACATGCAGTGTCCCCGTTGGATGACCGAGTGTGTCCAGCTGAACCTGATATCTGAAGGAGGTAATGAGATGTGCGTGTGTGTGTGTGTGTGTGTGTGTGTGTGCATGTTCACACACAGGTGAGTTGAGCATGCTGGTTTTCGATGAAGACAGGCCAGCATTTGGGTTTTCTCACCTCCACCATTTACTGTGTGGCCTGTGGCAAGCAACTTCAACTTTACCAGCTTCCGTTTCTCTTCCAGTCAATGGAGATGGTAGCTGCACACTTTCCCCCTGAGGGTTCATAAGATCTGAGTGAGCTGTTGAGAGAAGCAATAGAGTAGACAGCACAAGAGCAGGACTCTGGGGCCCAGGCCACCTGGGTTCAAATCCTTGATCCACCACTTTCAAGCTGGGTGATCTCAGGCAGGTGGTTTAGCCTCTCTGTGCTTCCATTTTCCCGTTCAAAAAAGGAGGCAATAAAAGTCTCTAAGACATAATACTGTTGCAAAGAAAACCAGATAATCCGTTAAACTCCTACAGGAGTGCTATCCAAAAGCTATATAATGTGAGTCACATGTATAATTTAAAATTTTCTAGTGGCCTCATTAAACAATTAAAAAGTAGCAGGGGAAATTAACTTAATAACATTTGGTTTAACCCAACGTATCCAGCTATTATCATTCCCACACGCAATCAATGTAAGAGATTGTGAGCGAAATATCTTGCATTCGATTTTTCTAAGTCTTTGAAATTGGGTGTTTATTTTACACTCACAACACATGTCAATTCAGACTGTCTACATCTCAGGTGTTCAATAGCCACATGTGGCTAGTGATTATCATATCGAACAGCGTCACTCTAGAATACAGGAAGTGCTGTAAATGGGGCTGCAGTAAACCTAGGGGATATCGCTGGGAAAACAGTAAGAAATGAACACGGGGGTGCGTCTTAGAAGGGGTCATGACAGGCGTGTGTATGAGGCTTGTGGGCCACACAGGCCTTCCCTCCATCATTGAGAAGTGTGTGTGTGTGTGTTTCTGGGGCGGGGTATCCATGGATGGGGTTGGCAGGTGCTTTTGTGTTATGTGTGGGGCATCGGGGGGTGGGAGCCATATGTGATTGAGTATGTGTGTGTGTGCATGTGTGTGCATGGGTGCACGTGTGGGGGTGAGTGTGCAAGAGAATGGGTTTGGAACAGTGATTCACGAATGGCCCTGTGAATGTACTAGTTCATCCAAAATGAGACAAATAGGGACCACCCTGAGGCTTACGGTTCCTTTTAACTTTTTGGGGGGATTGAACCCAGGGTCCCTTAACACTGAGCCACACCCCAGCCCTTTCTATTTTTTAGTTTGAGGCCGGGTCTCCCTAAGTTGCTGAGACTGGCCTCAAACTAGTGATCCTCCTGCCTCAGCCTCCTGAGCCACTGGGATTACAGGCGTGCACCACCGCACCCAGCTCTTCTTAACATTTTTTTTCTTTTTTTAGTTATGGAGAAGTTGGTCAAAGATAAATAAAAATGGGAATAGTTTAATAAATCCCCATTATACCTTTTACCCCACTCTGCTATTGCCACCTGATGGCCTCATATTATTTTGAAGCAAATTCAGATATTGTATCACTTTCTCTGTACAAATTTCCATCTCTCTCTATATATAAAAGATAAGGACTTTAAAATAAACTGTAGTTGTGAGGGTTTTTTAATTGGAACAATGAGACCCTTTTACCTGCACATCCCCCATCAAGTCCTCCATAAACTGGTCATTTGCATATTTATACTTATACATATATCTACCACTTCAACACCTCTGAAGAATCATAGGAAAAAATTGCAAATGTGTGAAATCAAGCAGCATTCGGGGTCGCGGTGTTTGTGAGTATTGAACCTTAAGGGAAAGCATAGCTACAAGGTAAAAAGGATAGTTAAGAGGGGCAGCCCTGACCAGCCCCAGGTCAAGGGACCAAAGGAGCCCGGTAGGTCTCACCAAGGACAAGGACTCGAAGGCCCCATAGACACCCATCTGGTGCCAGCTGGGCGTGTGCAAGGTGTGTGTGCAGGTGTGACCCTCCACCTGCGCGCGTGGCCCCTCTCCTAACACCTGTCTCCACAGGCGGCCGAAACCTGAGCTTGCGTGGCTGTGGCTCCCGAAACCTGTGCAGCGCCCGGGGGGTGACAGAGAGAGTGGCTCTGCAGGGCCTGCGGCTGGCCCGCCCGCCGTACTGCAGCTCGGGCCGCCGCGCCGTCCTGGAGTCCCAGTGCCTCTTGGGCGCCGCCGCTGGACTCCGCCTTGCCCTGCCCGTGCTGGTGGTGGCCCTGGGGACCTCGGTGCTGGCCTGAGGAGTCAGGCCTGGACCCCCCTTCTCCTCCTGCCTACTCGTTCCGCATCTCACTGGATGAGGCCCTGGATCCCCTCTTTGGGACACTTCTGGGGCCTGGAAGCTTCTACTGAGAAAGTCAGGGACCAGGGACAGGTTCCTGTCCTAGGCCAAGTGCTTCCCCTAGGGAAGTCCTCTTTCCTGGTCCCAGGAACCCCTAAAAGGCCATCCAGCTGCCTCCGAGGCCAGGCCACTGCTGGACTAGGGCCAGACCTCCTTGGCAGACAAGGGTCTTCCTGGGGACAACCTCCCCTCCCCCTCCAGACTAGGGTCGTTCTTCCCCTGACTACAAAGGCCACCTTCTCTTTGAGACCATGGGCCCCAAAGACTAGGCCGCTTTCTTCAACTGAGGGATCCTGGACACCAAGCCACTCCCTCAATTGGGTCCGAGTCTGTGTTCTCCAACATGAAGGAGCAAATCCTTCTTCTGCCTCCCTCTGAAAGGTCTAGCAAAGTCCTGTGCAGCCAAGGTGGGCCTTGAGGGCCCCAGACACCCACTTCCCAAGGCTTTTGGAGCGACCTGTTTCTTTCCTCTGGGCCGCGATGGGCAGGAGGCTTCGGTGACAGTCCCCTGCGGCCTGGGCTCAACCTCCCAGCTGTGACCCAATCTGAATGAATCGCATCCCGCAATGCCAAGCTGTCTGGTTTCCTTTTTCTGAAGTAGCAGCCTCAAATAGGACCCTGATAGGGTGGACTTCCTCCCCTGGGGCCTGAGGAGGTCAAGCCCGTCTTCACCAGGGGTTCTGAGACCTGGGGTGGGGGCTGCTAGAGACGGCAGTGTCTGGGGCCAGGGGGGCGTAGAATAAATGCTTAGTCTGGGGGCAGCATCATTTTAGAGCCAGCCATGAAGTCAAAGGACGGAGCAGAGGGGTAAAAATGGGGAACTCACAGTGGGCAGGATGCCGGGAACCTTCTGCTTTCCACTGAAAGTAACAGAAAATCCGACCCGAGGAACTGAAACCATCCATCATTCATCTAACAAATGTTTATTGATCACATACTGCATGTCAAGCACAGTTCTAGACACCAGGGGTACAGAAGAAATTCCCTCCTCTCATGAAGGCTGGTTATAGTGGAGGAGACAGATAACAACCCAAATCCCATAATATGCCAGAGAAGAGAGAGCTGTTGGCAGGAGGAAGGAGAGCTTGGCCGACGATGAGATTTTACATAGGTGGGTTAAGAGATGAGATTTGAATAAAGGCCTGAAGGGGGTGAGGGAGAGGTGGTGCAGCTGTCTGAGTACCTGTGAGGGGGCTTGGAAAGCAGAGGGAAATGGAAATGCAAAGGCCCTGGGGCAGGCACGGTAAGATAGGTAATATTGTGCAACAGGACCCAAAGAACAGAGGGGTGGGGGTATTCGGGTGTCTTTGATTCAGCCCAAGGAGTCATTGAGAACCTTTCTTTTTGCATCTTGGTGGCCAGAGCCACATTCGTACAACCAATATCCAAAGCGGAAAGGGTTGGCTTCCCATTCTGGTCTTCTGCAAAACCCTAGGAGACTTTCCCGCATACCTCATTGGCCAGCCAGTCTCTGGAAAGTAAAGGACTTATCCTGAGTGACTTCCCCTGATCAGGATTCAGTCCCTGGAGTTGAAAAATGTCCCAGCCTCTCCTAAGGAACAAGGCTGATCCAGAGTCTGAATAAGTTGCGGTTCTATTAGCAAGGAAGGAGTGGGAGAGAGCTACAGGGACCAGCAGAAAGAGAAACCACCCACATTTTTTCTTCCCTCCTCCACCTCTGTCTTCTTCCTCCTTTTCCTCCTTCTTCTCCCCCGCCCCTACCAGGCATTGAACCCTGGGGCACCCAACCACTGAGCCATATGCCCTGCCCTTTTTAATATTTTATTTAAAACAGGGTCTTGCTGAGTTGCTTAGGGCCTCATTAAGTTGCTGAGGCTGGCTTTGAATTCAAGATCCTCCTGCCTCAGCCTCCCAAGTGCTGGGATTACAGGCACCAGCCATCACGCCAGCCTGGGTTTCTTGATAGAAGGAATTTAATAAGGGGAGTTGATTATACTGAGAGAAGAAGTGGTGGAGGGAGGAGGGCTAGAGAGCAAAAAGGGAGAAAGGAGAGGGTGTTCTGATCACTGTGGCTGTGTAATAAGTGACCCCAAAACTTAGTAGCATGGAATTATTCAGGAAAGTGACTCAGGAGTTTGGGGATGTTTCTGCTCCATGAGGTCTGGAGCGTTAGCTGGGGTGGTTTGAGGGCAGGGGGCTCGAGCCATCTCCAGGCTCTTATATTCATCATTCTGTTGCCGGCTGTGGCTGAGAAGATGGCTGCAGCTGCAGCTGGAATCCCTGCACGTAGCTCTTTTGTATACTTAGACTTCCTTACGACATGGTGACATGGCTTGTGATAGGAGGGATTCTAACATAGCCAACCCTCCCCTCCAAGATTCCCATCGTAATCCCCTGGACTATGAATATAATGGAATGTAATAGAACATGATGGTATTATGTCACACGGCAAGGGGATTTTTCACGTCATTAAGTTTAGCAATTAGTTGAGTTTGAGTTCAGTAGAAAGGAAGTTATCTAGGTGGACTGCATCTATTCCTGCAAGCCCTTTCAAAGCAGAGTGTGTTCTCTTGGCTGTGGCCGAAGAGGAAGTTAGATGTGAAACGTGCAAATGATTTGCTGTGGCATCGCTGGCCTGAAGTTGGAGGGGGTCCTGAGAATGGCCTCTAGGGGCTGAGAGCAACCCTCAGCCAAGCACCAGCAAGACGGTGGGGACCTCAGTCCTGTAAGTGCCAGTAACTGATTCTACTGAAAATCTAAAAGAGCTTGGAACAGAATCCCATTCCCAGAGAAGAACCAGCCTGGCCAACACCTTGATTTTGGCCTTGATAGATCCTAAGTAGAGAATCAATAAGTCCATTGGATTTTTTGTGTGTGTGTTTGTGCCAGGGATGGAATCCAGGGGCACTTTACTGCTGAACTACATTCCTAAGCCCTTTTAATTTCTTATTTTGAGAGAGGGTCTCACTAAATCATTCAGAGCCTTGCTAAATTGCTGAGGCTGGCCTCGAACTTGTGGTCCTCCTGCCTTAGCCTCCTGAGTCACTGGGATTACAGGTGTGAGTCACTATGCCTAGTATTGGACTACTTTTTAAAAAATATTTTTTAGTTGTTGACAGACCTTTATTTTATTTATTTATATGGGTTGCTGAGAATCAAACTTGGTGCCTCACACATGCCAGGCAAATGCTCTATTATTGAGCCCCAGCCCCAGCCCCAGCCCCTGGACTACTTTTGATCTACAAAACTGAGATGATAAATGAGTGCTTTTGTTTTTAAATGTTTTTAATATTTATTTTTTAGTTATATTTGGACACAATACTCCTATTTTATTTATTTATTTTTATGAGTGGCTATAGATTGAACCCAGGGCCTCGAATGTACTAGGTGAGCACTCCACCACTGAGCCACAAACCCAGCCCTTGTTTTTAAATTTTTTAATTGTAGTGAAATATATATAACATAAAATTTGCCATCATAACTACATCTAAAAAGTATTCAGTTCAGTAGTGATACAAATATCTGCATTGTTCCGTTACCGATCTCCAGAACTTTCATCTTGCACAACGGAAATTCTGTACCCATTAACAAAACCCCCCATTTCCCACCCCAGCCTTTGAATGTGACTTACTCTAGATCGCACATGTCGGTGGAATCATGCAGGAGTTATTCTTTTGTGACTGGCTTATTTCATTTAGCCTAATGTCCTGAGCTTCATTTATCCTATAGCATGTGCCAAGATTTCCTTTCTTCTTAAGGCTGAGTTATGATCCATTAAATGGACACACCGCGGTTAGCTAATGCGGTTCACCTGTTGATGGACCGTGGGTTGCTTCCACCTCTTGGCTACTGTGAATAACGCTGCTCTGAACGAGGATATTCAGAGATCTCGTCAAGACCCTACTCTCAGTTCTTTGGGATGTATACCCAGAAGATGCATGTTGGGTTATGTGTGTTTAATTTGGGGGGGGGGGGGGGGGACATCATACTGTTCTCCAGAAGAGCCACCAACACAAGGGTTCCGATTTCTCCATATCCTTGACAACACTTGCCATTTTCTGATTTCTTGGCTACCTTGACTGGAGTAGCCAGCCTGATGGGTGTGCACCTGTGATAATGTTTTAGTCAGCATTAGATGCAATCGCTGCCTTTATGACCTAGCCTTGGAAGTCATGTAGCATCATTTCTGCCGTATCCTATTTGTCCGGGATCAAGGAAGGGGAGCGAAGAGTGGTAATGTCCTGAAAGAGCATGAAGGACCTAAAATATTGCTATGGTTACTTCTGTAAAGATGCAGTCTGCCGAGGAGGACCTGGAGATCAGCAACTGTGGGAAGTAGCTATGCCCCTAGGGCAGAGGAGCGCAACCAGCTTGTGCTGGGACCCCAGTGGTCGGCTGTGTGGCTAGGGTTGAGACCACAGAGGAGGCCCCTCAGCCGGTTCCACAGATGCTGACAAAAGCAGCGGTGTGGAAAACACATCTCACCATTTTTTACCTTCGGAGGGGGAGTGTCTCCTCAGGTGACATGAGAGCCTGGGAAATGCAGTTTTCTGACTTCTAGCCCCAGAATTACAGGGCAGAGAAGAGTCCCTTCCTCTTTCTCAGTCCCAACCTCCTTGTGTAAAATGGGAGTTGTGAACATTCCTGAAGAGGCAAATGACTACCGAGTGCCTAGTGGGTAATAAGCACTCAGTGTAAGGGAGTCATTAGAACATTACTTGCCTTAGCTCTTGGGCTGCCATATTGAAAGACCACAGACTGGGTGGCTTCGGCCAAGAAATCTATTTTCTCACAGCAAGTGGCTGGACTCATCTATTGCTATTGATTCATGATTGGAAGAAAGAATGAGATACCCATAGAGGGACCGTGAATGTGGGCACTAGCAATGTGAATCAATTCTGGGTAGATGCTTTCAGAGAGTTAAGG